CTAAGGAGACCAAAACGCATCAATAATGGAATCGAAATTCTAATACTTTAAGGTGTTTCATAATGTTTTGAGGTGTTTTGTAATATTTCAATGTATTTAGACAATTATTTCGGAATATTTTAATGTATTTCAAGATGTTTTGATATATTTTGACTAATACTTTGGAAAAATAATTCTTATATTATTTATTTTTTTCATTCTGTTTCCGAAACAGGTCGAAATATTTCCGAACACGTTGAAATATTTTTATTTTCTAGGTGATTGAAACAACAAACCGAAATAAAATTTTGATCTTTGTTTGGAGTAAAGTACTCTCTCGAGGTTTATTGGTGGACTTACCTTGACTTGCATATATGACAGTTCTACTGATTCAGGTTGTTGCTGCTATAGAAGATTTCACATAAACTCTCTTTTCTAACTCATCGTTCATCTGATAGGCAACCTAAATTGCGTCTTACATAGTGTAAATACGACTTTCTGCCAAACTAGTAGAAATATGAGAATAGAGTTCTTTCCTATACGTTACAATCATCACATCCTCAATCTAATGAAACTCTGATTGAGTGGCTAAGTTATATAATTTTCTTATATACACTTCAGCAGACATACTTCCTTGATTCAACTGTGTGAACTGTAGATGAGCTTGTTGGTTATAATTAGCAAGAACAAAGTAGCGAGTCATAGCAGTCTTCATATCATTCCATGATCGATCAAATCGAGTTTGTGGTACTTTACCCATCAAAGTCTTGTTATACCCTTCAATTTCGATTTTGCAAAGAATACCTTTCTTTTAACGGTCAAACGATTCCATGTGAAGAAGCTTTCAAGGCTATGTAACCAATCAAAAAATATCTCGGGATTATTATCCCCATAAAAATATCTGATCTCTAGCATAACTCTAGTCAACATCAAACAATTTGGGTTCTTGAACTTGAGCTCGAGAGGCTCGTACAAGTTTTAGTGGAAGAAGACTGAAGGTGATGAACCATTATCGACATTTTTCTTAACCCTTTTACACTTCTTCTGTAAGATATAAGCTTCCATGATCTCTTTTAGTAATGTTATGGACACTTGTAGTGAATCTATCTTGTCATTCATGGCCTTTTGTGAATCAGATAAATCCTCCATTTTGGTATTTAGTTTGGCATTAGATACCATCTTTGATTAAAGGAAAGTTTTGAGAAATTTTTCCCGAAAATTCAGTGGGTCAATTTGTAATTTCAAAAACTTATGAGGGGAAATTGGAATTTCTGAAACTTTCGGGGCTAAACTTGAATTTTAAACTTTGTGGGCCAAACTGTAATTTATGAAAATCTTGTGGGTAAAGTGTAATTTTTCTAACTTAAGGGATGTGTGTGTAATTTTGGAGGTGTTGGGGGTTTGGTCTGAAATTGTTCATGGGTTGGGTTTGAGATGGGGTTGGGCTGAAGTTTTAGGGCTGTTCTTTCAATAAAAGATATGGGTTTGGTCAAGCCTTATAACCCAAACTTCAAATATCCAGCTGTCGGCAATTGGTCTTCTTCTTAAAGACGCCACCTACTGTAGCCCTACTTCTTCAACAGGATCTGTAGTGGCGCTAAATAGAGACTTAGACTCATTGGCGACGAAATTTGGAATTTTTTTTTAGGTTGGTGATGGGAGCAGCAACAACAATCAAAAGGATGATGATCGCAAATGGGTAACTAGAAACATAACGACAATTGAGGATGATTGAAGTTAGACTTTGATACCAAATTGATGTAGTATAGAAATAGAAGAAATAAGAGAATTGAAGTATTTGACACTTTAAAAAAAATAGAGGGAATTACATCGATATTTGTAGGCCAAGTCCCTTACCAAAATAAAAATTATTCTCCTACTAAAATTCTAAGAGAGTTTCATAGTTAAACTCTTAAAACTCCTATGGTACTAAAATCCTGTAATAATTTTCTAAGCAAATTCTGACTAATATTCCTAGTAAAACAAGTACTCCTAATTTAACAAACTACCAATTACACTTTCCTTAAAATTTATATTCTTTCGCCTAGGCTTCTAAAGTCGATTATATTGGTCCAACCAACCAATGGTTGGACCATTTTTTTTTTGTTTTTGTTTGGGGGTTCGAAGATCACTTGTTTGATGGGTGAACACCATTAAATCATATGAGTGGTGTACTAGTTAATTTTATTTCTAAATCAGAAGGACTTGGATGGGTTTGCTTGTGCAACAGTCCTCCATGACTGGTGGTTTTTATGTGAACGTGGTAAGGAATGTAGGCAGCGATTTTGGTTAAATCCTAGTGATGTAGGGCTGTGAACAGTAGCGTGAACAATATTTTTGGTTAGGAGTCACTCCTAGGGTTCTGTAGATATCACACCCAAGATTAGAATTGCATCACACAACTCAAAAAACATATAATTGCTCAAAATTCTGAATATCTCTTTTCATCTATTATTAAAAGTAACACTAACTATTTATAGAGTTATAAGTAATTCTAATCCCAAAAGATTAGGATTCCAAAGTCTCTAGAACTTCAATGACACTAGGTCTCTATAAATTAGAAAACTAAAATTTATTAGAATTAGGATTTTAAATTCTAGAATATTCAATACTAGAATTTGACCCAAAAATATGATCTATTCTAGAAATTTTAGAAATTACAAAAATACCCCTGACACAATATTAAAGAGACATATAAAATATTAATACTACCAAATTGACTTAAAATAAGAATGCAAGGTTCATATAGATCTTTGTCTTGATGAAAAGCCAATTCCATTATCTTTCACATCTTCGAATTTGTGTTTCCTTGAGCATCTTATGGATTGCATCATTCTCCCCTGGTTGGAGAAAACTTGACCTCGAGTTTTAAAGTGTTGCAGTATGAAAGTCCAAAATCTTTGAACTTGTATGTAGCTGTCTCTGAGAAACATTTAGATGATGTCTCATTTTCTTCTCTAATTGAGGGAACAAAGAAAAAATTTGAAAATTGATCCCCTTGATTGTGTCGTTGAAATTTTCTGGAATGATAAAATCAATTGGCGGAGCAAAGTGGGTAGAAAGAAGCATTGGTGACTCTTCATGTAGATCCTTGAAAGATGCAAACAAATCAAGCTCTTGGAACATCATTGTTGCCGGTTGAAAGTCATTAATGGGAACAATTTTACCGGACAACACTTTTAGCACTATTCAGAGCTCTTAGGTAGTAACATACTCATCTCTAGAGGCTCATTTGATTCAATACTAGTTGTTGGATTTTCCATCTTGTCAGGTTCCCCAACAAAAAAATTGTCTGGATATTCACTTTTTACCTTAGCCTCTGGACAAGTAAGTAGCGTAGTTACTTGGGATTGTGTTGATTCTTCTACTTGATTTCCTTCATCTTGAATTATTTGATTAGTTGTTGCTGTGGGCTACTTTTGATGAATCTTCTTTAGTTGCACAGTAGAATCTAAGTAACTTTGAATTTTATCCCTTTGCGAAGAAGAAATCCTTGATGTACTTACTTGGTGAATGAAATTTAGGTACATCTCCGTACCAAGTGCCATTTGGAATGCATGCTCTATGTTGTATAGTGTCTGCCCAAGTATTTCTGTCTTTATATTTGCTCTTAAACCAGCTTTGAATCGAGCAATTGTTTGACAAGGTTCTTCTACAATATGATTTTTCAACATTATATCTTCAAATCTTTGAATATACTTTGTGACAGATAGGTTACCTTGTTGTAAATTTATAAGTTGTTTGCACAACTTACTATGAAAGTTTGAGGGCATATACTTTTGTTGAAGCTTTCCTTTCATTTCTTGCCATTTGTTGATTGACGACAATCCCAATCTTCTTAAATCTCTTTTAACACCAAACCACCAAATTTTTGCCAAGCCTACAAGTTTCATCTTGGCAAGCCTTACTCTCCTCTCATCTAAGAAATTATACCTAACAAAATAGTTCTCCATACAAACAAGCCAACTAGAGAATTTTTGTAGAATCATCCCTTTCATCAAAATCTTGGATCTCCATCATCATATATCAATATTTAAGTTGTATAACATAGGATTTTTTCAGCTCTGATATCAAATTGATGTAGGATAACTTTGTAAAATAAAAAAATAGGGACTGTTAAGGAACTGTGAACAGTACTCGTGAACAATAATTTTGGTTAGGAATCACTCCTAGGGTTCCATAGGTATCACATCCAGGATTAGAATTACATCACACAACTCAAGAAACATATATTTGTTCAAAATTCTGAATATCTCTCTTCATCTATTATTAAAATTAACATTAACTATATATAGAGTTATAAGTAATCCTAATCCCAAAAGATTAGGATTCCAAAGTTTTTAGAACTTCAAAGACACTAGGTCCTTACAAATTAGAAAAATAAAATTAACTAGAACTAGAACTTTAAATTCTAGAATATTCAATACTAGAATTTGACCAAAAAATATAACCTATTCTAGAAATTCTAGAAACTACAAAAATACCCCTAACACTAAAAATATTAATACTAGCAAATTGACTTAAAATAAGAATGCAAGGTTTCATATGGATCTTTGTCTTGATGAAAAGTCAATTCAATTACCTTTCACATCTTCGAATTTGTGTTTCCTTGAGCATCTTATAGATTGCATCACCTAGTAGTCGGTGAATCTGCTAAACACCATGCTTAACAAATTTGAATGGGAAGAAGAATTTCACATGTTGTATCTGTTTAAATATTTCTGCATGCTTATGCTCGCTTATTTGCACAGTTTTCATATGGTGTGCCTTTTGTGTCGAGTCCCGTGAGCTGATTCTTCTTCTGATTTCTTATGAAGGAACTGGATATCCGAAGGTTTTGAAGATTGATGTGCGTGGTGAATTAGTGGAGGGAAACATTATTAGGGGCCATGTGGAGGTTGCGTGGTGTGGCGGGACCCCTGGGAAAGGTGTTTCGAGGTAAGATGTTCTTGGGTTGCTGTATATCATATATACTAGGATTTTAAACTGTGGTTATTCTTGCAAAGACCGTTGTATCTCATATGGAGCGTAGCCTGAGTTCTTGCTCCACATTCTCCAGTTGGTTAAGGAGAAGATGGAATGGCAGCCCAGTAGTAATTGTTGGTGCAGAGGATGAGGAATATCAGGTGACTTTAGATGACTTAGATTCGTGTTTGGTATATATGTACACACCTGTAACCGAAGAAGGTGCCAAAGGGGAACCTCAGTATGCAATTACAGACTATGTGAAACCAGGTGCGAGATGGATGAATTAATTATTTTTCTCATTCATATAAACAAATCAGTTCAAAATGTTAGTTATAAAATTGAGAAAAATTATTTGCTAGATTCATCACAATTCAAAGTCAATAGATGCAGTAGTTCACCGCTTTTTTATGTGCTAGAATATCTTCACAGTTGCCTATTAGATTCTACAACAACTATTTAGACATATTCAGAGTCTAGAGTCCTAAACCATGTGAAATGTGTAAAGAGAGCTTGTATCCCACATTAAATGATTTGGACCATACAAGGTTGGTTTATATGCTTAAGGGGCGTCTCCACTTATTGCCAATTGATTTTGGGTTGAATGCTATAACATGGTATCAAAGTTAGGCATTCGTTGGTCAGTGAGCCAAGTCTCTTATCCCTTTGAATTTTTCAATATGCATGTTTGTCTCTTTGTTTATTAGCCCCACGAGCAAGCCGGGGTTCCACATGGGGAGGTTGTAAAGAGACTTGTATCTCACATCAAATGATTAGGACCACTTAATGTTAATTTATATGCTTAAGAGGCATTTCAGTCATTGTCAATTGGTTTCGTCTTAGTTGCTCTCATAAAATATAGTCATAGTATGTTGCCTCGTCATCTGAGAACTTATGTTTCTTTCTCTACCTAAAATCAGGTTCTGAAAAGCTGTGTCTAATGATTGTTAAGATTGAGTTAGCTGAAGCCCTTCGCCTCTTGCTGTTGTGTGTGAGTAGGGACCATAGTCAGCTTGTACAGGCACCTAAGTTATGAAAGATGTCCTTTATTAGAGGTCATCATCATTTAGATAATATTATTGGAAGCCCCATTTTATGTATAATGATTTTGTTAGGGCTAGGTATTGGTAATATGTTTTTATCATCGTCTTGCTTGATGCATCTTTCTTAATTTAAAAAGTTATATTGTATCTTGTATTGGATGTTAAACTTTACAAACTCCAAAAAGTCTCCTGGGGTAATATGCCGATCTTGACATGTTTTTTTAGGTTGACAATTCTGACATGTTAACAAAAGGGTGAAAGAGTTATTATTGGGCTGTTGTAAAATTGGGTATACTAATGTAAATTGAGACCATATGTTTCACTCCAAATTATAGTTTTTTTTCTTATTGTATTGTCTAGAAATTAGTAGTATGTTTGTTTTGATGGAAAGTTGGGTGTATGGAAAATGGGGGAAGGACAATGGGATGAAAAAAAAAATTGGAGGGAAAGTGTTTCCCTCTAGCCTACCATTTTTTTCTTCCAAAAGTGGGAGGAAAGTGAGCAAAATTGAAGGCAAGTTACTTTTTTGAACAAATTGACTCTTTTTTTGCCCTTAAATATCTTCTAATCATTATGCCATAATTTAAAATCAAAACCTACATATTTCTCAAGAAATACTACTAAATATCCTATTACTTATATTTTTCCTATGTATTTTTTTGGCTATTATTTTTGGTATACACATCGATATTTAATAGTTTGTGTACACGTGCGTTGCATGTGATCAATCTTAACTTATAGTTATATTGGTAATGTTAGTTCAAAGATTGAGATTACATCATAATAGCCTCAATTACTATGTCCTTCACAAGTTTGAATCAATTAAAGAATGTTTCATTTAAATGAATACATCATAAACCAATGAAATAAAACATAAGTTCATTGCTTAACTTGATGCATGCAATAAAATTCAAATAAAAGAGTTTTTTTGGGTCAAAATATAAACAAATAAATAAATTAGATAGTAGTAATATCACTCCATTGCTATGTCCAATTGCTTCTTTGTCTGTAACACTTAAACTCGAAACTAAAATAAAAATCATAGAATTTTTTTTTATTTAAAAATTTATCTAGCATATGGGCAAAAAGATTGTTAATTCTTAATTGGAGATCATAAACAATCATGTTACTCTATTCAATTGATAATATACTTGGGAGTGATTCATATTAAGGGAGAGAAAATATTTATCAATTATTTATGGTGTATGTAGGGGTGCAACTCGGGCGGGTTGGGCGAATTGAGAGGTCAACCCTAGTCCCGCCCTAGATATATAATCTTCAACCCTAACCCTAACCTTACCTCAATCCGAGGTACTCAATCGGAGTACTACCTGACTTTAATTTGGGCGGGCTCGGGTTGAATTCGGGTTACTTAATTTGGGTTGATTTCGGCTTAAACATTGAGTTGACTTGGGCTATTTAATTTTGGTTAATTTTTTGAAATGTAGATTTGATTTTTCAAGTGTAGATGTGATTTTTTTAAGTGATTTGAGATGAAAGGCAAGACGTAGATGAAGAGAGAAGGAGGAGTGACGAGTGAAAAAGGGAGGAGTGATGAGTGAGAGAGTGAGGCCGAGAGTCTAAAACGACTCAAACAAGTGACGATTGAGAGAGGGAGGCTAAGAGAGGGAAAAACGACAAGCGAGAGAGGGATCTGAGAGTGATGGAGGCGCAGGGGTGAAGAGTTGAAGTGAAGAAAAAGTCTGAACTCTAAAAAATGAAGATAAATACTAACCCTAGTTAAATATATTTATGTATATTTGGGTTTAACCTGACTTAATAATCGGGTTCAACCCAATTTTAATATTTGGGTTGAACCCAACAACCCGAGGCCTCAACTCAAGGTTTGCCCAAATTCAATTCGAGTTGAGATTTTTTGTCCAAGCCCAATCCAAGTATTAAAAATCCTAACCCAAGTCCTGATTTTTTCGAGTTGGACTCGGATTGAATTTGGGTTGGCCCGCCTAAGTTGCACCCTGGGTGTGTGGTATTACCCCCATTCATTTAATGATACCATCTAAATACCAATAATAAAATATTCTGTTGTGGCCCAAAACACATTCTTTGGTAAACCTCAATAATGTTAGCAAAAAATTTGAACAAACATAAATGATGTACAATTTTACTAAGCTACAAATAATTGCATTAATATTTGAAACCTGAACACATCACCTACTCATGGCAGAAGTATCGATACTCCTAATTGGTCATAAAACAACTTCTTACTTTTGGCATTAGAAGACCCACTACAGTCGAAACAACTCGCACAAGTCTTTCATTGATAATAAATTGGTAAATCATGCTTGGTTTAATTTTTTAAACAAAATGGCATTCGTTGGATAAAACTAAAAGCAGATTTCTAATAGATCCCAAGTTGGAATGTCCTTCTGTTTTCAATAAGAAACATGCAATCAACAAACAAAATTAATAGAAATCTACAATAGTAAAAAACATAGCTACTTAACATCAATCTTCATTTTACGAGTTAAAACGCTTATCTCAAGATTTTGTTTAATTTGAGGGTATGTTGGTTAACATACTTCATTCTATCCACTACTACAATCCATCAATTATTTAAGCATGTTCTTCCCCATGGTACAAAATTTTCAATCACTTGCACTCATTTTAATGAGTAAAACTAAACCACAAGAATTCAAAAGAATGATTTGAGATAAACCTGAGGAATGTGATCATAAGAACGTAGCATATAGTCGCCATTTTAATCCTTGAACGACATGGAGCAACCTTCACATTCTTCAAATTGTTGCCCAACAGTGTCAAATAAGTTACCTTTACATTGGTCCTTGATGCAGTTATTATATTTATCCCATTTGTCTTAACAAAGTTCTTTATATGTTGTGCCTATCATTAACCAAGACAAACCTACTTTCAATAAGACCCACAAAGATTAGATCCAAAAATCAAGAAAAGATTGATTGAAGATCAAAAAAGCACTCGTGAAGAGAAATACAAAGCCTATATGAAAATGGGGAAGAGTAATAGAACTGTAACATGAAAAGGTTAGAGAATGATGAATGAATTTAGGATGGGAAAGTCAAAACCTTATATAATGGCTACAGGAAGTCAACCACTCACTTCCAGTCGTCAATCATTCTATATCCTTAAAATTATATTGTGTTTTCCTTTTTTTTCTTTAGTATATAGTCTATCAAAATTCTTGTTTTCTATATATAGAGGAAGAGGGATAACCTTTTAGAATGTGTGCCCCTCCATCTTTCTTGTTTCATAAATTGATAATTTAATGGAGAAAGTAAAACACAAGGATTATGTCATAAATGATATTAATATAATAAATAAAAAGTGTATTGTATTGTCTTTATAATATATTTACTCATGGTAGTTTAGATAATTAAGAAATGTTAAAAAGGGTAAAAGAGGAAAATAAGAGTTTTTCAAATATACATATTTTTTAAAGGATTATAGATTTGTTTATTTATTTTTATAACTAATTAGGGCGACATTGAATATTAAAATTTTTATTTATAATAAAATTTTATTTTTGTATATAAGGGTATAATGGTAAATTAAATACATGTATATTTTCTTTCCTTCCACTTTTCCTCCAATACCAAACAATAGAAAATTAATTCTTTTAACTTTCCATCCATCGTACCAAACACAAACGAGAGAAAGTGCTTTTCTTCCTCTAAGGATGAAAAATCTATTCTTCACATTTTTCCATTCTTCTAATTTTTCATCATTCCTTCCAAATGGAGCATAAGGTTGCGTGTTCATAGACTTGACCAAACTAATCAATAATGAATTTTCATGTTGTTAAAGCAATCAGAATCGCTTGTTCAACCATTGGTTATAACAAGCGGATCCCAATGTTATCAAAGCACTAGAAAATTTTCATGTTTAGTGAATGATTAACCAAATCCTTGCCTGAAATTGAACATAGATCAAAGTCTTGGACTAGTTCTTTCTTCAGAACACTACTAGAATGTGCATGAGCGTCACTGGAACTGTAAAAAGAGCCTGTATCTCTAATGGGATGAGTAGGATGACCCAAACCACTCATTTCCAATTGATGGTCTAACATGGCATGAGAGCTTGGTTTTTGGTTTCTTGTGACCCAAGTGTCTCACCCACTTGAATTTCCAAATAAAATGTTTGTCTATTCATTAATCCCAGGTGCAAGCCTACGCCCCACGTGTGGGAGCTCGTACAACAAATTTGTGTCTGACATCTAATGATTAGGACAACCCAATTCTTTTTTTCTAAGGAAAAAAAGAAATTTCTTATAGAAGAAAGTTGAGAAGAAAATACAGTGTTGTGGACAAAATATCCTCGAGGTACAATAAAATATAGATCAAAAAGAAAACGTTAAAACTCCAGGAGAACTAGAGGAGAACTGTATTCCAACTTGATTGTAGATTCGACGGAGGCAATCCTCTAAAACTTCATATAGCTTTAGTCCACAATGAAGCCATGAGCATAATTCTTTCCCACACTAAACATGGTTCAAAGTATCGAGTTGGCTGAGTCGTATCCGACTCGGCACCTTCCGAGATGATTTCGTTACATAATATGTATAAACTTCGAATTTTACACGATATAGTTGAGTTATAACTGAGTCAATCCTGAGTTGTTGAGTTATTGTTGGCCGACACAATTTCGTGACGTCGCAGTATGACCTGAATCTCTCTTTACATTCAATATTTTTTTTTAGGTCGTATCCCTCGATATCGTACAACAACGCCGTGATCGATGTCTCTCAAAGCTCTTCGAGTCGATGATCGATAGTGCGACCTTGAACCATGATACTAAACTTGCAATAAGACAACAATTCTTGCGTTTCTCTTATCCAAATACACCCAACTAGTGTTAGATGCCAATAATTTAGGTATCTTCTCTCATAAATCCTTTTATTCTCATCTTATTAGGGCCCAGACTACTCATTTTTTTTTCTTAGCCAAATTAATTTGGAAAGCCAAAGTTCCTTCTAAAGTCAAGGCCTTTGTTTGGATTG